GGGCTGCCCGCTGCTCCCGAGAACACGCTCGCAGTTCCTCGTTTGCTGGATGCCTCGCAGAGAAGGTTGAGACTGTCCCGGAGCTGCCCTGAAGAGTGAAAAGCGTGTGGATGTAGCTGGTGTGGATGCTCCACTGATAGGTCTTCTCGGTTGCCTTTAATGGGGAGGGAAAGACCAGTTTGACTTGGCCTGGTTTCCAGTATGTGTTGCATCATATGTCCGTTGGACTGACAGGTGAAGAAGGCAAGTTGAGACTGAGGAGTGGTTTCTTGCAGTCAGCTTACGTGGTATAGGTGTTGTCCTAGGGCCATCTCACAGAAGTCTGCCCGGTGAAGCTTTTGAAGTTCTGCGTTCAGAATTCGTATCTGAAAATCTTGGCTGTAGGACTTTAAAATACATTTGCTAAATTATATTCCAGCAGCGTTGCTCTGATTGACATGTGTGGTGGTTATGTTGATTAGTTTACTGGTCTTGTGAGTCTAGTGGTGAGGACGTGGAACTATGGATGTTTTCACTGGCATCAATACTGGTAGCAGTTACCAGGAAAGATCTCCAGACGGGAAGCTGTACCACCAACAGTGTGAGAATAGGAAGATGGAGAGAAGAAAAAGATGGCAGTTCCTCCCTACATTTAAGGACGTTTTGCTTTTTGTGCTCATGGTTTAACAGATGTCTTCTTCTTTGTGCAGGGCTGTAATTGAAGTACAAGATGGCAAGAACCAGCCACAGCAACTACGTCCTTCAGCAGCTAAACAACCAAAGAGAGTGGGGCTTTCTGTGCGACTGCTGCATCGCTATCGATGATATTTATTTTCAAGCACATAAAGCAGTTCTTGCTGCGTGCAGCTCCTATTTTAGGATGTTTTTTATGAACCATCAACACACTACAGCCCAGCTGAATCTAAGCAACATGAAGATTAGCGCAGAATGCTTTGATCTTATTTTACAGTTCATGTATTTAGGAAAAATTATGACAGCCCCTGCCAATTTCGAGCAATTTAAAGTGGCCATGAACTACTTACAGCTATATAACGTACCTGAATGTCTGGAAGATATACAGGATACAGACTCATCTAGTTTAAAATGTTCGTCTTCTGCTTCTAGCACCCAGAATAGTAAAATGATATTTGGCGTGAGAATGTATGAAGACACGCTTGCTAGAAATGGCAGCGAAGCAAACAGGTGGGGCATGGAGCCGCCAAGTTCAACAGTAAATACATCCCATAACAAAGAGCCTGATGAAGAAGCTTTGCAGCTAAGCAGCTTCCCCGAACAACTGTTTGATGTCTGCAAAAAGAGCACCACGTCCAAATTCTCTCACGCGAAAGAGCGCGTGTCCCACTCGCGCCGTTTTGGGAGGAGCTTCACCTGCGACAGCTGCGGGTTTAGTTTCAGCTGTGAAAAGCTGCTGGATGAGCACGTGTTAACGTGCACTAACAGGCATTCTTACCAAAGCGCCAGGTACTACAGTGCTGAAAAACTGGACTTTAATGAAAAGGACTCTACTTCTAAAATAATCTCCACACAAACAGAAAAATACAAGGGGGACTCGAGCCAAGCTGCGGATGATTCTTCGTCTCCCGTGTCGAACGTCACAAGCAGAAAAAGCAGCACGGTTGCCTCTGAGACATCAGGTGAAGAAGGCAGCAGAGCCTCTGAGAGGAAGAGGATTATCATCAAGATGGAACCAGAGGACAATCCTGCAGATGAGCTGAAGGATTTTAATATTATTAAAGTGACAGATAAAGACTGCAATGAGTCCTCCGACAACGATGACTTAGATGATGAACAGGAAGAGCCGCTTTACAGATACTATGTCGAGGAAGAGATCAGAGAGAAGAGAAATGCTCGGAAGACTTTAAAACCGCGTTTATCCATGGATGAGGATGAAAGAAAGTGTTTGAAAAGTCCACGGCACCTTAACAGGAAGGCTCCGTCAGTGCAGGAAGATGTGGAGAACGCTCCCTGTGAACTTTGTGGGCTGACAATCACCGAGGAAGATTTGTCCTCTCATTATTTATCCAAACACATAGAAAATATATGTGCTTGTGGCAAGTGTGGTCAAATACTGGTCAAAGGCAAGCAGTTACAGGACCATGCCCAGACCTGTGGAGAACCCCAGGATCTGACCATGAACGGTATCAGGAATTCTGAGGAGAAAATGGACTTGGAAGAAAACCCCGAGGAGCAGTCGGAAATAAGGGACATGATGTTTGCAGAGATGCTGGAGGACTTCAGGGACAGTCACTTCCAAATGAACAGCCTTCAAAAAAAACAGTTATACAAGCATTCTGCCTGTCCTTTCCGATGCCCTAATTGTGGTCAGCGTTTTGAAACCGAAAACCTAGTGGTTGAACATATGTCGAACTGCCTGGAGCAAGATCTGTTCAAGAACTCCATGATGGAAGAGAACGAGAGGGATCACAGACGTAAGCATTTCTGCAATCTTTGTGGGAAAGGATTTTATCAGCGCTGCCACTTGCGGGAACACTATACCGTTCATACCAAGGAAAAACAGTTTGTTTGTCAGACATGTGGGAAGCAGTTCTTAAGAGAGCGCCAGTTGCGGCTCCACAATGATATGCACAAAGGCATGGCCAGGTATGTCTGTTCCATTTGTGATCAAGGAAACTTCCGAAAACATGACCATGTACGGCATATGATATCTCACTTATCAGCTGGAGAGACTATATGCCAGGTCTGCTTTCAGATATTCCCAAATAATGAGCAACTGGAGCAGCACATGGATGTTCATCTGTATACATGTGGAGTATGTGGAGCAAAATTTAATTTGAGGAAAGATATGAGATCTCACTATAATGCCAAGCATTTGAAAAGAACATAAGTGTAAACATACTGTTAAAGCATTAAGGTGGCAGCAGAGAGAACACCAAAGCAAGGCATACAGTATAGTAGACAAAAATTGAGAAAGAAAAAAAAAATTGAAAATAAGTCTCTTTTTTTATTATTTTTTTTAAGACCCTCCTAACCATAGGTGTCTATTTAGGCTCATTAAGTATATAGCTTTGAAAAGCATCGTGTGTTTAATTATTACATTTTCACTGTTTCCTAATATCAGTTTCTGTTCTTAATTTTATTGTTTTACTAAGTAGATATACAAATCATTATTTTTAAACTGTAGATTAAAAGCACAATGTTACCCCTTCACTGACTGCTATTAAACAGTTCTCGGATCCACGTCCGTAAGATGAGTGCTTTAATATTTCCACGTGTTGTTTCTTCATGTGAAAATTTTAGATCACAGCGATTAATGTGCAAGAGCATAATTGTTCATAATCCCCAAATTAATTTTCAAAATGAAAAAAAACCCCAGTGCCAAGGAATAATCCGTTGCTCTCAGACTCCACTGTGAGGGCAGAGCTGGCTGTCCCGGTCCTCTGCTTCTTGGCTTTGTCGGAACGGGCATCCCGGGGGCGAGAGCGCGTAGGCTGAGTGAAACCTCGCAGACTGGGAGCGGTCTGCGCAGAGGGGAAGGGAGTTAACGACTGCCGGGATAACCGAGGAGTTCCCAGCAGAGCGGCTGTTTTCCAGGCTTGGAGTCCTAGCAGGACTGTACGACTGACGCTGGCCTTCCGTTGTCTGTCCGTCCCTGCGCGGGTGTGTGTAACCTGCTCCTTCCGACGCGCCAGGGCCGAGTGGCTGCGGGGCAGTGCCAGGCGTGCGGAATGGCGCTCTGCCTGGGCGGCTGCCTTTCTCAGCCTGGCTGTGAGCGGTGCCTTGCTGCTTGCGTTGGAAAGCTGGAAGCGGGATGGGTGCGCAGATAGGCCCGTTGCTTGGGCGGGGAGGGACGGGGGAGTGCGGCTCACGTGAGCCGTAGTGGTTTTGTTGCTTGTTTTCGTTATACTTTCTGAATGTTCTGTTTTTCAACAAGAATATAACAAGAAAAGACTGCAGAGTTTGCTTAATAAACGTGAAGACGTTTTATGCCTTTTAAGATTCCTTTCTGATTCTAGTATAGCCCTAATCTGCGTAGCTTGTCTCGTAATTTAATTGAATTTAAAAACCCTGCTAAGTGCCAGCTGACATGAATTCAGTGAGGCAGTCTGGCCTTTCAGAGGAGGACTGGCTTTGACTCTTCGGCACCAGCTGTCTAAACGTTTGTGAAGTGCGTGATTTTCATTGGGGGGGAGGAAAGGATCCTAGTATGTCACGGTGGAGAAAACTATTACAGAATAAAACCTAGCAGTGCTTTCTCCCAGCAGATCTCATTGTGTCAGAGGGCAGTAATGCTGTTTCCCACTGAGCCGTGGAGGGAGGAAAGCAGTTTAGATCAGCAGTTAAGGCGGTCGGACTGGATCGTTGCGGGTGCCTTCCAGCTGAAATACTCTATTCTGTCACCTCATGTGCTGGTGGTGGGGTTGAGAATCGGAGGCAGGAGCTGAGGGTCTGGTGCAGGGCTTTCATGTGCTTGTCACTGTCAGAGTTGAGTTTTGATTCCTTGTTTCTTGGGGATTGTGAGGGGTAGTGAGTTTTAATGTTAGACTGTTCAGAGAAATTAATACAGTTCAGAATTTCCACTGTAACTAGTATGAGTTGCCTCACATTTGTTCAGTTTTAAATGCGCACTAGAGTTTCTCTTGGTTGGTAGGCACATGCATTTCTGCAGTGGTGGAGGAAGACCCTGCCACCAGACCCTAGGCCTGAGCTGGCAGCTGGCTCCCAGGGCACCGACTGCTTTGGGTCTAGTTCGGCCCTTAGCCTTTGGCTGTAACTGCTCAGTCCTGCGTTTTCTTGCGTGATGCTGAAGCCAACCAAGTCCTGAATAACACTGAGGCCAAAAAGACCAGGGACATGAAGGCACTGCAGCATTTCAGTTAATTCAGAGCTTCCCCCTGCTTAGGATTTATTCCACGTTCCCCATCCCAAGCCAGACTGAAGCTCAGCGTGTAGGAGTTCAGAGAAGCAGCGGGATGGGTAGTTTAACACTTTCTAGCACTGGAATCGGTGCTAAGGTGATTGTAAGACTGTTCAAAAGACAAAATATTGAACTATAATGAGCATCTTAGTGCTCAAGTAGGTAGTCAAGTGCTGTAGTGGAAGAGGTGGGGGGGGAGTTTATACACTGCACACAGCAATTCTCTGACATGCAGATTATCCCTTACAGTATCAGCTACGGCTGGACTGGGAAAAGCAGCCGAGGGAAGCGAGGGAGAACTGGGGGAGCTGGCAGAAGAGTCTTGTGGCGCTGGGGGAGCGGGAGAAGAGATCCTGAGTGGGAAGGAGTGGCGAAGGCTGGGGGGAGCAGGATTAGAGCTGTGCAGTGGGAAGCAAATCCCAAAGGTGGCATGGAGGGGGCGGCTGGAGGAGTGGATAAAATGTCCTGCAGACGTCGTGGGACCGGGGTGAGGATGACTCAGCTTGGCTGGGAGAGCTGCCGAGTGATGAGCTCACTACAGCACAAACTCGGAGCATGGATTGCATACCCTGTACAGCCAGCCCCTGTGCTGGAGGGACTGCAGTGACACAGCTAAAGACCTTGTTGAAAAGGAGGAGGTGACCTCTGCGAACTAAAGAGATCATTCCTGAATACAGTGAAGGGCTAAGGGTGATTTATGGAGACCCCGGCTCAGGGTCAGGAGCAATGTGTTGGTCTGAACTTGACCCCAAAATGTTTCACGAAAGAAGGTGCTTCCTAGTGTAACTAGACCTGCCAACCACAGGAGTTAAACAGAGAAACTGGGAATGATGGTCTTTACTGCTATCTTAACTTTATAAACACCCTGGAGTACCTTTGTTTTTCAGTTTTCAGCTGTGTTGTAGTAGCCTTTCAAAGGAAAGTTTGTTAAGCCTTTCCAGCTGAACTTGAATGAATGTTTTTTCCTGTTCTTGTGAAACAGAACCCAGGGCCTTGAAGTTCACATGTGTGAATGTCCAGACTAAGGCTCAAAAGGAGCGTGAATTGCACAGCAGGGGAGCTTAGGAGTGGATTTACTCCTTTGTAGGCAGAGAAAACCAGAATGACTGAAGTAGCCCAAAAAGTGATCAAGGGGAGTACAGGAGAACAAATCAAAGGTTACTAAGGCATAAACAAGACAGCCTGGCTTGCAAATAGGTGGGGAGAGTGTTTATAGTGAGCTGTGCAACCATGCAGGGGAAGAGCATGGGACTATTGAAGACAAAGCCTGGAGTGACGGAGCGTTTGGCAGCTGTGAGCGGGCTGAAGAGGTGGGTGCTGAGGTAGCCTGGGGCTGGTCACTCCTGGGGACAGGGGTGTTCTCCCCAGAACGGGACAACATCTGCAGGAGCGTGAAATGATGGTGTTTCAGTGCTCCTACCATGGCAAAAATTACTTACTGTGGAGACAGAACTAAAGCAAGCCTGAATAAACCCCAGCTGCAGTCACGATATCCTAGAAGTCTTGCTGTTACTCGAAAGATAGTGAAGGAGAAGCAAAAATACTTAATTTAGAGTTCTGTTTCCTCTAACAAATTTGTTCTTCTCGACCATCATAACATAGTTCCTTTGCATCTCCTTACTGTGCTGCGTGGACTGTTAGAGTGTACAAGCACTTCAGGATCTTTGCGAGTGGAGGTGTAAGCGTATCACATTGCACAAGGCGTAGCCAGAAAGAAAAAGACTTGCTGGGTGCTCTGATTTGTATTTTTAAGTGATTTGCTATTCTTATTTTTGGAGGACCTGCCTCTGTTCTGTTGTTTTCCTCATTTTGGCAGTGGTGTGGGCTGCGACTCTGAAAATAATTTAAGTAGCCAGCCTAGCTTTTAGCTTTCAGGATTTACTGAAGGTTAAAAAGAGAGAATTTGTGAAGACCTGGAACGAGCTTTAAAATACCACAAAGCTGTCGAGCTTCTTTTTCGGTTTCAGAGGAGACACTTCAAATGTTAAAATACATATATATGCTTGTAAATGCTTATTGGCAGCTTACTAATTTGAAGAGTATTTACATTTGTGTATAATGATATTTGTAGCGAACAGGTCTGTGGGGAAATCTTGGTTTGAATATGTTAGAATATCACAGAATTCTAAGAATTTATGCATTTTTAAGGGAACTTCTCTATTTTTTAGTTAATGGAGAAAATACAATTCAGCATGTTTTTTATTCAAAGCTGAAGACAGAAACTGTACTGCCCTGGAGAATATATTAAAAATACATTGTTATAAAAGTGAATACTTTGACTATGCTATTGTATTTGAACACACTAGTGCTAAACCATCAACTATTGGTGAGGACGTAAGCGTGCCCCTGAAGGCAGTGCGGCCTTGACCCCTGCCAGCCCCTTCCTCCTCCCCACCTAGTTTCAGCTCTCATGTCCCGCGTGTGCCACCCTCTCCATTGTCAGAAAGCACATATTTATGTAGCTTCACAATGAACTGAATGAAACAACAGGCTTTTTTTTTTTATATTCCCCGTAGGGCTATTTTTTGGCTGGACCAGTTCCCCGCTGTGCTTCCCTCTCAGCTCTGTGTCAGATCTTGTGCTAGCACAATAGAAGGGGTGGCACAAGGGGAGAAATGAGTGCCTGGGAGGGGGCTTGTTCGCTTAAATGAGCTGTACGTCCCAAGCTTAACTTGGTCTCTGTCTCCCCCAAGCATCCTCGTGGAAGCTGAACTCTACTTTCCTC